CCCCCGCGGAGCCTCACCTAGGGCGCAATTCTTCATCCTAAGCAGATCTGTCCCCCTGCCTTCTTCCCCCCTTTCCAAAGTTCAGCGCCCACCTTTCCTCGCTCGCGGCGCCTCGACCTTCCGAGCGTCGCTCCGGAGTGACGCCCCTTCACTTCGGTTTCTATTGTGCGTGTCCAAGGCAGGTGCGCGCGAGGGGAAGGGGCTGACCCAACTGGGTCCGGGAAGGGATCGAGGTTCCGTGGGCCTCCCTCTCCTACCGGCTCCCCTGCTTCTCTCCCACTCCGTGGAGAACCAGAACTCGATGTCGTCCCGTTTCCCCGATCTCCCCCTATCTCTCCCCCCCCAAAATTTCTACCCTTTTTGGGCAGGTGGACGGGAAACAAACCCACCCACCCCCAGGTCTGCTTCCAGCTCTAATCCTGCCCAGTGGAGAGGGGCGGAGGAGGCAGAAGACTTCCTCTCCTTGCAGGGAACCGGAGTCGCTCTGGTTTCAAAGAACAGAAAGCGGGGGGAGGGAGGCTAGCTAGGCAGGAGAAGCGAAGGTTTCCCCCCCCCCGCCGCCGCCCCGGAGCCGGGAGCGCGCGCGGGCGTGTGCGGCGTGGCTGGCCGCGGCTCAGCCGAAGGTGCTGGGTTGGCTTTTCTGTGTGGTTCGCCGGAGGGAAGTCGGCAGAAGGTCAGGAGTTCAAGCGCTGCCGGCTCCGGCCACGAAAGAGGCCAGCAAAGAGCCCTTTGGGAGGCAGCCCGGCAGCCCCCGCCGGCCCGGAAAGGAAGAGAGCGAGCCACGCACGTGGGAAAGGGGGCGCGCAAGGAAGGCACCTCCGGGCGGCAGAGGCGCGTGGATTTGGCGCTCCAAAGCTCCGGCTTCCCATCTTGCCGCCTCCCTTCTCCGATCTTGGAAACGTTACTTTCCTGCAGCTGGCCGTGTGGGGACCGTTCTTGCGAGTTGGGATTTTCCCCCCCTTCCCAAAAAAGTAACCTTCCCCCCGGTTCCGATCTTTCTCCCACCTCTCCCCTCTTGGGTCCCTCTTGGAAAGCAGGAAGTCATCATTCGCCTCGGCTCGGGAGATCGAGACCCGAACAGGTTCGAATCCAGCCAGGTGGATGCGCGCTCCCTCCCCGGCTCGCGCACCCGCACAGAGACACACACACACAGAGAGAGAGAGAGAGAGAGACAGCGGCACAGGCGTCTTCTCCTGGAGCTTCCGCGCCACCACAGCAAGGAAGCGGCAGCCGCAGCCGCCGCCGCAGCAGCAGCAGGAGAGGAATTGCCTGCCCGGCCGCCGTTTAAAAGGGCTACAAACTGAAATCCTAGCCGTTTGCGATCGATACGAGAGGAGTAAGTGGAGCTGAAAATGCGAGCGGCGGGGTGGAGTTGCCCCTGCCTGATCTTGCGTCTTGGAGGCAGCTCCGGGGAGGGAGGAGGTGGGGAAAGAAAAGAGCCGGCGAGGGGAATGGGGGTGGGGGGGAAGGAAGGGAAGGGAAGATGATGGCATCGCCCAGGGAACCGGGAACTGGATCGCAGAAGGGCAGATCCCCACAATAGATCGACGCTGCCGATCCCGTCTCCCTCCCCTTCCTCCCCTCCCCCGCCTCTCTCGGGGATCTCCGCCTTTGCCTTTTGCTTGATTTCTCCTTTCCCCTTTCCGAGGAGGCGGGGACGCGGGTGGTGGTGTCTCCCAGCCCCGCACCGGGAGCCCGTCTGCATATTTAATTGAGGCTCGCGCGCCTGGTTCGCGGCGCGCGCGCCAGGCCTCCCAAGGTACGAGTCGGATTTAAGGTGGTCGGGTGGAGATGGCCGGGCGCGCTTTCCTCGGCCCGCATAAATCTCCTGAACGTGCGGAAAATCAGGCGGAGGGAGCAGAGGCGAAGGAGGAGGAGAAAAGGACTCGCTCTCGCTCTCTCGCGGGGAGGAAAGCGGCGGTGTGTGTGTGTGCACGCGCGCGCGCGTGTGTCTGGGGGGGGGAGAGTTTAGGAAATCCCCCCCACCTTCTCGCGGAGACTCCAGCGGAGCTCTTAGAATAGAACTGAAGGTGGGGCTTAAATATATTAATAGCAGAGGGGGTTGGGAAGGCGAGGGGGAAAAAAACCCACTGTTGACCTATATTTGGCAAGGAAACCTATCAGTGACTGGATGCCAGCTCCACTCCAGGTAGTTTGAAGGAACTCCGGAACTAGGAAGCGGGCGGCGGGGGGGGGTGTCGGCGGCGGGGGATGCTTGACGAATCTCCCCACCAGAGCATATTAGCTGGAGTTAATGATGATTGCGATAATTATGCAGGGAGTCAAGAGACTGGCTGAAGGGATGAAGGCGCTCCCTATTTTTAGCCAAGTCCAATTTTTCTCCCCCTCCCTCTCCAGTCAGGTGCATTTGGAAAATAAAGAAATAAATAGCGGCCACGCCGCGGGCTTTTTCTCCATTCGTTTTTTTTTTAAAAAAACTCCCCAAACTGAAGCGATGCGATGCTGGTGAAGTTACTTCTCTGCCCCCCTCCCCGCCAGGCATGGCAAGACCAGCCTAATGGGGAGCATCCTTAACAGAAAATCGATTGTAGGAACGCTCTGCTGGGCACTGCTGCAAAAGATGGGTCAGCAGGATGATCATCATCATGCCAATAACCGTGGCGTGGCGGGGGGCGGGGGGGAGAAGAGAGTGAAAAGAAGGTGGAGGTGATGAGCCTGAAGATTGCCACCGAAGTTCATTCAGGCTAGCCTCGGAGAAGCCCGCCTTTGCTCTCCTTGCGTCGGCTCCCCAAGCAAGGCCGAGGCCATTCTATGTTGACTTTTAAAAACTGGACTTGGAGCCCCGTGCCAAGAGATGCCCGAAGGGAATATATGCCTTTAGCTTCACCCCATGCCGAGTGGGTCCCTTTGTGGGGGGGGGGGGAGAGAAGGAGGCGGTAAGATGCAGTCAGAGCCAGCGAACCAACCAACTCCCAGGGAACGGCATAGCGTGGTTCCCCGTGCAACTGTCACACCATTCATACACGCATCCCCCGTCTCGCCCCGTGCCAAGAGATGCCCGAAGGGAATATATGCCTTTAGCTTCACCCCATGCCGAGTGGGTCCCTTTGTGGGGGGGGGGGGAGAGAAGGAGGCGGTAAGATGCAGTCAGAGCCAGCGAACCAACCAACTCCCAGGGAACGGCATAGCGTGGTTCCCCGTGCAACTGTCACACCATTCATACACGCATCCCCCGTCTCAAATGCACACGCAGTACATGAAGGTATG